ATTACATGATTAAAATAATTGTGAGATAAAGTTCCAGGGAGTTGAGAGAAGTAAGCAAATCAAAGCTTAATTCATGCAGAATGCATTAGGAACCCGCTGACAAAGCTGAGCAGCCACTGCCAACTCCCATCCCTGGGAGAAGCCAACCCAAGGGACAGCCTCACTCTCTGCGGGGGGCACCAGGCACCTTCTCCAAGGCCAGGGCCACCTCCTGCTCCACAGTCACCAGCCCAGCTCCCTGCAGCAATGGCCAAAGCACCTGTGACTACCAGGGTAGGTGAGCAGCTCCTGCAGTGAGACCTGAGGGGGAATAACGATGTTTAAAACTTTGGCTCTGCCTCTACAGTTGCTAAGGTTGGCCCTCAAAAACTTCTAGCTAACTGAAACTAATATTACTATTACTAAAGAAAAATTAGGGATGTAAAGAAGCTGTTGGCTTAACACAGGAATGGGTGTTACTCCATGGTCTGACCTATGCAGGGAGATAGCATACAGACCACAGTGGTCTACTTCTGCCTCAAATGCTGTGAAAATACAAAAATTACTGAAATTACATGGGATGTGCTATATTAGCAGGATGCATAAAGACATTATTAGCTCTTTGGAAGAAATTACTATCTTGCATTTCTTGTTCAGATCATCAAATCTTGAAGTGACAGAAAAAGATATTGGAGGTACTAGGAACTTCCATCAGAAAATAATTTCAGGTGCAAATGTTGATGACTAAAAGTCATCCAAACATGAGACATTAGGATAAAAGGCACTGACAACCACACCAATAAGATGCTAACACACAGAGAACACAAAAAGAGAGCACTGCTGGAAGTTGTAAGAGTGTTTCCTTTACCTCTTTCATATTATTTCCAACAGATGAAAAGCATAATTACAAGAATGCATATCCTTTATCTTTGCATGTACTGATTTTGAACCTCAGTCTGTGACAGGTGGATAAATATTTAAAACCAGTATAATATCAAAAATTTTGTTTAAATTTCAGAAATATTTTAGATTAATGAAATATTTTTATTCCTTTCAGATAGGCAACTGAACGGAAAAAAAGGTCTCATGTTTCTGCTCTGAAACTCAAACTTTCTAGCCAGCACAGTACCGTGAATAAGAGTCACAACTTGCCAACATGGGCCCAGTAGATGCAAAGATGACAAAACCCTCAGAAACTGAAACAAAAAAATGAAAACTTCTTCTCATGACAGGGTAAGCAGTGCTACAAATACAGCTTTACTTGAACAGGGAGAGGACCTCAAAGGACTCAAACCCATGTGTGCCAAGGTGTGCAGAACAAGAACAGTGAGGAATCATGTACATTCCTCATTTCTGGAGGAACAAACAACAATTGGTGGCACAATGAAAAATTCTATTTCAACATACTAGAAAGCTGTCTTTGGATACACACCCTAAAGTGCTTCTTGGCAGATAATGGAGCCATATGTACGCTGAACCATGTCTAACCACCACCAAGATTATGCCTATTAGCTGAGTGTAAGCAGAGGGGTCGCATAATTTTTTGAAAATCAGCATCTAATCTGTAGTGAACTAGTAACATCAGTTAAGGGTAACTGGTAACACACATAGTATTACAGAGTAATTGAGGTATAGATCCATGTTTTGGATTGAACAGCTTTTAGGATTACTGATGATTCTCTCTGATGTTCTGGGGGAGGCACAAATCCTCTTTACACACAAGAAAGCAGAATACTTCTATGCTTGGTTTGATCAACACAGAAGTACAAACTTCATTATGGTCAATTGGTCATAATTGTGAGAAATTTTCAGACTGAGGCCTAAACAAAATTTGAGATCATCTCACACTCTTTATTTTGCTGCTGGCTTAATGCCAGGGCCAGAGACCAATGCAGAAGTGCCTACAAAGATTTAAGCTGCAAGTCAGCCTCTGTACTGGGGACTCTGCTGGAGGAGTGGAGGTTCACCCATGCCCTTTGTTCCCATCAGTGGAAACTCAGGCAGTTTAAACACATGACAAATGGTGATTTAGTTCATTCTGCCTACAGAGGTTTAGAAAGGGGAAATATAGTGGATATAGCTGTCTTTATAAAATCATTTAAGGAAAATAAAGTAAAAATAGAAGAGACAAATGACAAAAAGCAAAAGAGTATCATGCTTAAGGAAAAAAAAAATAGAGCCTAAAAAAATCTCTATGAAGAGTCTTAATGAACAAACAGAATGTACCTGCAGAAAACGTGAACAGCAGGTCATATCACACTTCATATAGAGAGCTGCCAACAGAAAAACTTCTGAAGCAACTGTACAAAAGGTTACAGAGCAAATTAAAAAACAGTGTCAACAATCCGATACCAACTTAATATGGGTATCAAACTGATTTATAGAGTTCAAATGAGACTTAACACCAACATAACTAGCACTTCATAATAGAGCAAAGATTTATATGCAAAGAGCAGTTCTGAAGTTATGTATACTTGAAATACAAAATATTAACCTAACTTTATTTCTCTGGAAGAATCAAACAGCAATAAGCTTGAAGAGAAGTAGTAAATTAATCCTGTGATGAGAACCAAAATAGAGGGCAAACTTAAAAGAAGTGAGAATTGAATTCAGCTACAGACTTCCATGAGTTGGCAACACAAAGCCAGAAAAATGTAACAACCAAAATACATCCTGAGAGCAAACAGCAGGAACAGACAGATCAGAAACAAAAGCACACGATTCCCATGTAATCTCAGAATCTATTTATTGAATTTTTCTGGGTTTTCATTGCTGGAAGCTAACTTAAGAGCACCACAGAAAAATTTTGGTTTGTATTACAGGGAAAGAACATTGAGAAATATTCATTTCTGACAAATACAAATATATGGCACTTCTCTGAAAATGCGCAATACTGGTAAAATCGCTAAGTTGGCCACAGAAAATTTTCATCAAAACTAAGAAAAACAAAAATGCCAAGCATTCCTAACTGTTACATCAAAATCCCTAAGATATTAAGGAAAAAGAGAAGTATAAAGATGCTAACAAGTTTGGTTTACAGAACCTTGGTTTCACATAAAATTATTGTACATAGTGCAAATTTAAAAGTATTAAATCGCATTTGAATCGCATCCTCTTTCCCACCACGGGGTTTGTTTCTTTCTTTCTGAATAATTTTACCAATAGTAAAATTTTCAAAGGTGCACAAGTGACACATACTCTTGAAATTACGGCTAAAGTCATTTATGCCTGTTTGCATCCCAGGTCTTCAAATAATCTTGCCTATTCTTTTACTATTTGTTTATTGTTTCTCCATGGCTTAAAATGTGATGTCTACTACTTTCTCATATATGTAGGCTGGGCACTTTTTAAGCATGTGTGTTTACATAGATATTTGCACATGTACATATACACAAAGACACAGACACACCAATCTATATATGCATATACAAATACTAAATTTCGCAAAACCATTCCTTTGTGTTTGATTTCCAAAAGTTTAATACAAACATGCAGACAATTTCTTTTTTAGAATTTAATCTGCAGAAGACTTCTGATGGCACCTCTTTTGAAGTAGATGAAATGTATCAAAGTCAATTTCACACACACGCACTATAATCAAATATCAAAGCAATCACCCATTCCTTTTCATTTGTCTCCTGCAAATATCAATAACTCTAAGACAAACATACTACATAAAGCATATTGTATGTTCTGTACCACAGTAAAACCAGAAAATAGACTCCAGATGTTTCCTCAAATCCTGCCAAAAATGAAATTTGAAAAAGCGTTGAAAATCAAGCGAAGTTGGAAGCCCTGACTTAAAACATGTAGGAAAAAGAGGCACAAGGAATCTGTGGCTTTGTTAGGAGTAAATTTGTTCTGTCTTCACCTACTAGATAAGAAGGGTCAATCCTGAGTAACTGTAAATACAGCAACTATGAAGAATAAAAATTCTCATTTTCTTTCTGTTTATTACTTCTTTAAAATTACATCTCAGACCTTCCACAGATTTGAGACTGAGAGAAAATTTTAAACAGCTTTCACTCATTTGGAAGACTAGATTCCTTCGGAACTTAGCTTTTAGCTATACTAAAGTAATACTGAAAAGGGGGCATGGCATCTAATTTTCTTAATTTGTAATTTTCTCATGTTAGTTAGCACCACAAAGTCAAAACAAACTAACTGATATTGCATGAGTCCTGTTTTGTTGAAATGCAAAGTAAAGGAGGTTTGCTTAAACAGTCCTTCAGTAGGAACAACTGATGGCTTTGCACCGCACTGGATGAACAGTGTTTTGGGCACATTGTTTCTCCTCTGAGGGCCAAAACCAATAGCTGAAGCACAGTAATTTATTAAAAGCATACAAATACTGACAAAACCAATCATGTCTAGAGGTTCTTGAGGTGGGACTCACCTGACCCAATAGATCCTGTAAGACCTCTGAAATTGATCAAAACAAAGGAGTAAAGAAACACTTCCAGAGGCAATTCACTACAACTATCTTAGATAATTATTTTACAATGAAAAATTAGTCTTCATGATGTGTCCATTTTTGTCCCTCAGACACAGAGAAAATCTAGGCAACTTGTTCAGGCTTCACCTGCTGCTCTAGTGAGGACAGCAAGAAGAATGCAAGTTGTAGTGCAAGTACTCAAAACTGCTTGTGTCATCAGGTAATTTTGAAAAAAACAAGAAAAAAAGCCTTGGATGCATCACTAATATCATGTACTTTTTTCCTCATGTAAAACTTATTACAGAATATTCTTTAATGGACTGCTTAATACCAACATGTATTTTCAATTTGGAAGTAATGAATAATGGAGAATTTGAAATACTTGACTTTCTGATCTGCCTCTTTCAGAAGTATATGTAACAGTCCTCAACTCGATCAATGTACATTCAGTCCCTTTATCATACTCAGACAGCCTATTGGACCAATACTTGTTAAGAAAAAACACGATTGTTTACAAAAGCGTAGCTTAGACTGAACTCCTACAGGATAGTGAATTGTGAAGGGGTAACACAATTAGTTATTTTACCTGCATAGCACTCTTTCCCAGCTTAACCACCTCAAACAAAGTGACAGGGTCCCCTTCTCCATTCTGCTGAGGGTGGCCATTAGCTCTTCCACGACTCGCTCCTCTAGCTCCAGATTCAGAACGACCCTTGTCTGCTGGAGACTTCCGAGGTTTCTTAGTGGCAGACTGGGCAAAGAAAACCAGTAGAATGAAAATTTATTATAGCTATATCTGAAATCACTCAATGTATCTTTATAAATTATGCATAAATACTACACAGACTCTTATACACTCACATATGTATATAAACACAAGTATCACAGAAGTCTGGAAGGGCTCTCAGGAGGTCTTCCAGTCTGACCTCCTGCTCAGAGCAGGGTCAGCTACAAAATTCAAACAGGTTGTTTAGAGCATCATCCAGTCAGGTACACGTATTTTTATTTATCTGTAGATGTTGAGGAACAACTTAAAAGCCACTGTCATGTCAAGGTAAGTAGTGGTGAATTTCTAACAGTGAAGTAACCGTTCACGTGAATACCCATATTAGTCTTATTCAACACAATCGACAACATGACTGAAACTAGATAAATGGTTGCAAATTACAGACAGGACAGCAAAAGTGTTCTATGTTGGCACACAAACTTTTAGAATAACTAATGGTCTTGGGAAGACTAAGTTATTTTTAATAAGTCATGTTAACAGTAATTTTCTGTATTTTCATTTTCATACAACTTTTATAAGAACTTTTGTATAAGAAGTGAGCTCTTCAACTCAAATGAAATCACTGATTTTATACAGCCAGATTTAGTAGATCATCATAATAGACCCTTGCTTCAAAATTTTATGAGTTAAAATATTTTCCCTGTGAATCTATATTTAATGCAACTTTTCTCTAGGTTGTTCAAGTTTACCATCAGGTGGTATAGATCCCACTTGTAAGAAGTCACCTAGTGAACAGTCTGCTCTGAATTTATGTCAGTTTATACAAAAAAAAAAGTTTCTGGGGTAAATAATATAAGATTTCTGCTATGACCTTACTTCATATTCTATTCTGTCTCCCTACTGCAAGGCAAACAAAAGCAAAATCTGCTCTTTTCCACAGAACAACAAAGCTATGTTGAGAAATTATGTTTAAGGAAACAACATGCAAGCAAGTTGAAGATTACAGTTAGGACAATATCCTCATGGTATCATTTAAATTGGTATACTGTTAGCCAGTTTCTATTAAAGCTTTTAGTAAAGAACATGAAGTCAATATTTTTGGTTGCATCTTCCAGTTGCAGACACATTAAGTATTTTCCTGCAGAGGAAAGGGATCTAATTTCTGGAAGAATGCTGGTAGTCTAGCTTTTCCATTACTTTAAAAGGGATCACTGCTGGTGGGGCCAGAGAGCCAGAGAAAAGGGCAAGGCAGAGTGAAACTGCAACTGCCTCTTGCAAATATTCAATTAAGGACTTGCATACAAATGTAAGCTGGAAAGCTTAAAATAATGGTACAATCTCTGTGACAAGTATTTTGGATAACATCTGCCCTTGTGATCAAAAGAATATGTGTTCTCCCTTGTTGAATTTTTAAAGATGTGCAAAGCTGCCTTTATCATCAAGAAAGCTATCAATACATGAAACGTTTGAGCTCTATTGAGCTACAAAGAGACATGACTAGTATTTAATAAAATGGCAAATAATTAGAAGTAAATTGACTCTTTGAGATATATAATCCATTGTTTATTCAATCTGGGTGACAGTAAACCATAAGCACTTCATCGCTATAAGTACTGTTAAATGACAGCAGAACGCAAGTCGATGTCCTCCACAGAAGCTAATGCAAGCCCCCTCTATACTCAGTTTTTCTCAACATGTTATTGAAAGGGAGACGTTAAACACTGCAAGGATGAAGGGAAAGCAAGTAAGAGATGGACACGAAATGCACACATGCAAATATACCTTGTTACTGGAAAGCAATGAAAAAAGCCACCTACACTGGCATGAGTACTATGGACCAGCATGCACACACTCAAAATGAGTAGCCACAAGACACGTAAATGCTCAGTTTAAACTCCATTTTTGTCAGGTATGCTGGGGAAACAGAAGTGCTTCGACCAAGACTTATAGTTTGAATTAGAAGGTTGAGAATACCAGTGAGCTCTCAGAAGAGGTACAAAAATAACCACCAGATGTACTTCTGACAATTACTGGACAAAGCCAGATTCTGCAAGTCCAAGGAAATATCTCAATATCCTGAACCTGAATTAACACCAGATATAGTACTGAGTCTACATGAATAGTTTCTCTCTGTTGACAATGAGAACATCTTTCACAGTGGAGAAACCAAGTCTTTCATTTAAAAAAGCCATTCTGCATCCAAGCTGGAGTAGCTAAATCCAGACACAGGACCTGTACTAAATCCTGCCTCAAGAGACAAAACAAGCAGAGAAGGATCTTCCACTGAGAAATTGAAGATAATCCAAAACTAGAACTTTTTGAGTTAGGCAGGGATTAACATCATCTTCAGGTGGAGAAGTACTAGAGGAAGGGTATCCACCAGACTTCTACGGCAGAGCACTTCAACCTAGTAGGCATCTGACAGGAAGCCCAAACTCAATCCCACTCCAGAGTGCAAATATGAAAGCAAGTCATGCATAGGTCCTCCAGGCTCCAGAGACTGCCTGGCACTCTAATTTTCCCGGAAAGGTTGGACCAGATGATCCCTGAGGTCCCTTTCAACCTGGTATTCTATGACTGCATCCCAGAATGGAGACATCCAACACCACTGAAGCAAGTGAAGGAAAAGCATGGACTGGTCCATCCACAGAAATGCAAAGGGGACTCCTTCATGACACAGAGTATCTATGGAATATCTGCAGAGGCGGGGTGCTCTTGGAAGCAGAGTTGCAAAGTCAAGCTATATGTCAAAAAATGATGTTTGGCACTGAGGATACCAAACAGAGGTAGCCCTGAATCCCAAAAGAGAGATGCCCACATTCACACGAAAGGGTGGTCTTCCAGCTCAACGCAAAAAAACCCATCTTCTAATGCCATGAAGAGCTTCCACATAGAAACAGCCAAAGGATGAGTTTGGCTCCAGTAAACCTGTCAGACTAGTGCTGACAGGCGTAAAATGTGATGTTTCATTAGAGTGAATTTGTAGCAAGTCTATCCTTGTGAGGATCTACCAAGTAGTCATCAAGATGCAGGAAAAAGAGAATCTCTGCTTTCTAACAGGAGCACCAATTGCAGTTGTTGTTTGCCCCTTTACACCCTTTCAGCCAGAAATTTCCTGCCTCTACCTAAAGCCCCCTTAAATTGACAGTTGTGTATGGGGTTTTTTTCTTTTTAAGTGTCAGTCTGTCAGAGTCCTGAGGTAGGTAAGAGCTGATTGTTTTCCAGACTCAGTAATGACTTTTCTGTTTATGAGAAGGATCTCTGAAAAGTCATGGAAAAGGCAAGCTGGTTGACAACACTGTATCTAAGTGTATTCATAAACCCTTGTAACCATTTCCATAATCCAGGCACCTACTGCAATGGCAGAACCGACACTGAGGTGAGTAAGGACTACCAGAGGGAAGGATTAAGAAGCATGGCAAGGTAAAAAAGCTTGAGGATTTTTAATCAGACACCAAGAAAGGTGGTGCTTGGAGCTGTGAGCCTGTGGCAGTTAAATTTCACTCTGAGACCCAGGACATGCAGTTGGATTGGTGGTGGTGTCAAAATGGACTGAGTTGCCAAATGAAAACAGAAATTACTAATGAGTTTTCATATCTGTGCAGCAGATTCAACTGACAAGTAGCTGAGGATTTATATACAAAAGCATTAGGAAATTCAAAGTTTCAGAGTGTGCCACAGAAGCAACTTCAAAATAACCATATTGATGGCCACATAGTTTACCTGTTGCTTTAAGGCTTAAACCAAGGCAAACAGGAAACAAAACACTTACCTTGACTGCAATTAAATGAAAATGATTACCATTCAGAATTTTGCAATGAGTTAGCTAGATAATACTTTTCCTTTCACATCTTTAAAAAGTGGAAGTGGCTTGACATTTTCCATTAACATTTCCCAATTTGATGTGAGGTACTTCACGAAGAAGTAAGGACAGTAAAAGTGTTACAGGTCAGTAACTCCACCTAACCCACCTTAAATGATGGCCTCTGTACATTCATACTGTAAGTAATTTAAAGCAATACCCCATTTCTCAAGATAGCTAGAAGCAGCTTTTTAACCCTCCACTTGAGTAAGATCAAAGAACTTGCCTCTAAAAGGTATCATCCCCTTAAGAGGCCTCTGCATTATAACCTCGTGTTAAGTGGAAGAGTGGTATGTCTGAAATCTTTCTGAATTAATTCTGATTAAAATAACAAAGACTACTGCACACTTCGTAACATCATCATGGCTACCTAGGGAGAAGTTCCTGGATTCAAACTGTCAGTCTTCGGACTCTTTTCATCAAAAAAACAAACATTATCTCGCAAAGACAGATGCAGGTCCCCTAACATCCAGCACATACAGAGCTGCTTCAGCAGCTTCAGTAGCACGTGCATTTTAGAACAAAATAAAACCAAAACAGTGAGTGCTGGGGGAGTGGTATTGCTTTTTTTTTCATCCCTATTTAAAAGCCTAGCAAGAGTTCTAAAAGTCATCTTAAAGACTCAAGAGAGTCTGCTATAATTGCTTGAATCACTTTAATTGTTCTAGCTGAGGCAACTGCTACCAAAAAAAGATTTATTTCCACAAAAAAGGGAAGAATAGATTAGATTGCCAAAAGTACAAGGATCATCCCATCAAAAGCTTAAAAGAAAAACTTCTAACATCATTAGGATTTCTCCATCAAAAAGCTACAAGTGGTAGGATAGAGAAGTCCTCACATACCAGCTGTATGTGCACTGTGCTCCCAGAGAACTACAGAAAGACTTACTCACTTCAGTTTTAAGGGACAGACCAAAAATATCTGGTAGGCAAGCTGAAACAGGATGTTTGGTCTATGTCACACCAAACCACAAACCTTGACTACTATGAAAAGAAATTCTTCCAAGAGGATTCCTTCCTACTACTAATCAGGACACGTATGATTTGGAATTAGAAAAAAACCTGAATCCCCTACAGTATCTAACATCCATGCTACAAGACTAAATAAGGCTAAGAGTCTGCTGCAAAGTTAAAATTTCACATATGAATGCAAAGGTACTGTG